CTTATGCATATAAACCTTGGACACAGGTTCTCTGGTTGATCGCTCCCCAGCCACCCACCCTCCCCCGCCTTCCCTCTGAGGTTTGACCTTGGCTTTCTTACTCAGGGTTTTGATTCGCCTCGGGGGCCCGAGAGGCCTGGCAGTATTAGGCCGGGCCTTAGGCGGTTCTGGAACATTCCCCGGAGGCCTCGGCCGAGAGTGGAGATTCGATAACTCAAGGTATTACAGGTTTTGGAGTGAGGCAACGTTTTCTTTTTCTTTCTTTTTTTTTTTTTTCAACTGGAGGGTCATCTGTTTCATCTCCCCTTGACTTTTTAAAAATGCTGGAACCGGTGTTTGATGGATCACAAGGCTTTTCCCCCTTTGATGTTTATAGGACTGAAGGTGGAAAAACAAGGCCTTTGCTTATTAACAAGGCGAAGCGATCTCTTGGAAACGGAAAACAGTTTAGAGAACAGAGCAGACGTCAGATTTTCCTGTGATGCGAATGCGTTGACCTTCCCTCGGGGTAGGGTTTTGGGGAGAGCCGGTCGGGCCCCATCGACAGTGAGGGGGCCGGCTGTCCAGGGCTCCCCCGGCCTCGGCCTGGCCCCCTGTGCGCCTCTCGCGGCATCAGGGAGAGCAGGGCCGAGTCCAGGGAGGGTCAGTGTATTTGTCAAAAGGTCACCTGGGGAGCCGGTGCCGACCCAGAGCCCTTCACTGCTCCCAACAGCCGTTTCTCTTTTTTCCTTTTTAAATATCTTTATTGATTTCAGAGCGGAAGGGAGAGAGAGAGAGAGAGAGAAACTTCAATGATGAGAGAGAATGATCAATCAGCTCTGCCTCCTGCACGCCCCCCACCGGGGATCCAGCACGCAGCCCGGGCATGTGCCCTTGATGGGAAATGAAACCTTACCTCCTGGTTCATAGGTCAACGCTCAACCACTGAGCCACGCCGGCTGGGCTTCAGGTACTGACCACTGACAAGAACCTAAAAGAGGCTCTGAAAGTGCGATGCTAGTGAGCATCCCTCCTCCTTTGTAGCTGGGAGGTGGGAAGGTGCTCCCTGTAAGAACTCAGACCTGGCGTCCGCATCCCCTCCCTGTCAATATCCCGTGGAGGGGACTTTCCCGGGATGAGGAGACAAGTTCCCGCACCTACACCACATCCTCGAAGACCCCAAACGGTGTCCTAGCCTGAAATAATTAAACAAGTGAAGGTAGGCCTTCCGGTCTTCAAAGTCTTATCTTGGAAACAAAAAGCCAGTATGGACTTTTCCCTTTGCCCAGCAGCATTCTGAGAAACCCACACACCAGAAGCCACTCCGCTCCTGCACTTGATGGTCACTCTTGGGTCAATGTCAGGCATCTTTGTCCAGCACCACCCTCCATTCCACTCAAGGACGGAGAGCCCAGCTGGCGTGGCTCAGTGGTTGAGCGTATGTGTTTGGGGAAATTCCCCGTCAAAGGGGCACATGGCTAACACCTCCTTTGTCTGGGTCACATGTTCCCCTTTGGAGAGGGGGCCGCTGGAGTTTCCAACCTGTTCCACAGACCGAGAGCCACTGCCCATGCGCCCCCGCCCCCTTTGGCCGGGGTTGGGGGGCAGCCTCCCTGCCCTGCGCCGCCCCCATCGGGTACCTGCCCCCCGGGCGTGGGAGGCAGAGACAGGGCCCAGCAGAGACCGTGTTGGGAACGGACTGCAGAGCCGAGAAGAGTTTTGGAAAAGTGGCGTCCGGCCAGCGCCCGGGCTCCAGGAATCCCGGGAATGCGGGGCCGGAGGAGGGACACGGGCCTCCTGGCCAGTCCGGTTGTCAAAACAAAGCAAGAGGAGACTGTTGGCCCCAAACTAAAGGCGTCGGGACTCGGGAGCGAGTGTTCCTCACGCGCGCGTTTCCATTCTGTTGGGCGAACACCCCCAAGAGCCAACTCTTACTCTTTTTAGTTTCCCATTTTTGGGTGAAGACGCAACTGGGGCCTTAAGAGAAAGGGTTTGCTGCCCGGCCGGTGTGGCTCAGTGGTTGAGCGTCAACCTAGGAACCAGGAGGTCAGGGTTTGATTCGTGATCAGGGCACAGGCCCGGGGTTTTAGGCTCCATCCCCACTAGGAGGCGTGCAGGAGGCAGCCGATCCATGATTCTCTCTCATCATTGATGTTTCTCTCTCTCCCTCTCCCTACCTCTCTGACATCAATTTTTTAAAAATCAGTAAAAAGAGAGAGGGGGGGGCTTGCTGAGCGCACCCAGGAAGCCAGGGAGCTGAGACAGAACCTCCTGCAGCCGCCGCTGGTGGGGACTTGCTTCCCAGCTTATGTCGAGGTTCACGGACGAGGGACAAAAGGTCGAAGGGCACCCCGTGGGGGAGCAAAGCCAAACAAAAACAGGAAATGGCCGGCTCCGGGATTTTCCACGGGAAGGCTGGGAACCACGGCCAGAGAGAAGGAGGCCTCGGAATCTTCTGGAAGCCGCCTGAGATGCTGGGGCGTGGGGGTCCCGGCAGCTTTGGTTGGAGGGAGGCATGGCCACGACCAGGGCCCCCGAAGGGACCCTGGGGCCCCGGACTCGGCGCCGGCTCATCCTTGGTGCGGCCCCAGATCTCCCCCTGCCTCCTCTCCTGAAGCATGAAAAGGGTCTAAAATCACCCAGAACACGACGCACCGGCCCCTCGAGGTCACAGGGCGTTTCTGATATCTGTGGGCATCGGGTATCTAACAGCTTCCTTTCTTTTTTTCAGTTCATCCTCACCCCAGGATATTTTTCCATTGACTTTTAGAGAGAGGGGAAGGGAGGGGGAGAGGCGCACAGAGAGAAACATCGATGTGAGAGAGGTGCCTCCCGCCTGCACCCTGACCCCGGCCGGGGATGGAGCCCGCAACCGAGGTGCATGCCCTTGACCGGAATCGAACCCGGACCCTTCAGTCCCAGGGCTGACGCTCTATCCACTGAGCCACACCCGCCAGGGTGGGCAGAGGGTGTTTAGAACGATGGTCAACAAATGGGGAAGCGGGCTCAGCCTGCCTCTCGCTTTTAGGACTGACAGTCCCTGAAACATGAAAAGGGTCTAAAATCACCCAGAACACGACGCGCGGGCCCCTCGAGGCCACAGGGCGTTTCTGATGTCTGTGGGCATCGGGTATCTAACAGTTTCCTTTCTTTTTTTCAGTTCATCCTCACCCCAGGATATTTTTCCATTGATTTTTAGAGAGAGGGGAAGGGAGGGGGAGAGGTGCACAGAGAGAAACATCGATGTGAGAGAGGTGCCTCCCGCCTGCACCCTGACCCCGGCCGGGGATGGAGCCCGCAACCGAGGTGCATGCCCTTGACCGGAATCGAACCCGGACCCTTCAGTCCCAGGGCTGACGCTCTATCCACTGAGCCACACCCGCCAGGGTGGGCAGAGGGTGTTTAGAACGATGGTCAACAAATGGGGAAGCGGGCTCAGCCTGCCTCTCGCTTTTAGGACTGACAGTCCTTTTTGCTACCAAATTTGGAACGGGGGAGGCCGAGATGGGGCTGGGGGGGCTCCCCTGGGGGCCTTGTCCGGCATGAATCCCCCCCCACCCCTCGCTCCTTGGGGTCAGGGCAGGGCTGACTGCCTAGGCCACGGTCACTCACAGGGGTACATGCTTCTTGACTTGGATGGAAGAGGCTCCTTGCCCGGTCGGTGTGGCTCAGTGGTTGAGCCTCGACCTAGGAACCGGGAGGTCAGGGTTCGATTCCCGGTCAGGGCACAGGCCCGGGTTGCGGGCTCCATCCCCAGTGTGGGGCGTGCAGGAGGCAGCCGATCCATGATTCTCATCATTGATGTTTCCCTCTCTCTCTCCCTCTCCCTTCCTCTCTGAGATCAATAAAAATATATTAAAAAAAGAAGAGTTTCTTTGCCAACAGGAGGGAAAAAATGTCCAGTTTCCTCCTGGCCTGGTTCTGTTGTTGGTTTTTTTGTTGTCGTTTTTTGTTGGTTTTTTTTTTTTTTTGAGCTCTTGTGTTAACACCTACTTCATGAGGGAAGTCAGAATTTTAAAGAGAAAAATGTGTCAGCATGTTTCTAGCGCCGTGTATGCAAATGAGCCAGGAAGGTCTTCTGCAGGCCGCCACCAGGGGTCAGAGGTCACCCCTCCCGGCCAACAGTTGTTTGGATGAAAATAAACAGGGGCCAGGGGCTGCAGGAAATGAGTTGTGGTCGCCTTCATGCACGTGTGAAAGCTCCCGATTAGGAATCCAAAGAACTTGCTGTTTAATGAAAAAGTGAACCGAATTCCTCTCCTGGGTTGCCTCACTTCCCTGGTGGTCCCTGGCTGATAGCTTT